CGCCCGCGTTGGGCAGAACCTCCTCTATGGTCTTACGCACAAGTGCTTCAATCAGAACTTTTGGCTAATCGGAGACACCGTCCGATGTCCGACCACTACTCTCATCATATTCAAGGCTCTCGCCTTCCTTACAATAAATTTTTTAACTACTGCTTCTGAGCACATTTATTGCAAATCTAGGCCCAAAGCATCGTTGATATCGTTGAAATCTCTATATAGCATGACATTCTGCCACTTTCAGGTCTATTTAAAGGCTAGAAAAAGAAAGTCATGCCAGCTTGCTCCTCGAGTATACTGAATTCAAAGCTTTGAAAAAGCTATAAGAAAATATTTTAGGATAAAGTTGTGCTGAGCATTGGATAGAGCTGGAAAAGTTCTTCAAAATGACATCAACATCAATTGCAGCTTTCCTAGATTTCAAGGGAAATAAAGCATCCAAAAGTGGAATGTCAGAAAACGACAGAACTTTCTGAAACACCTAATATATCGGCTGGCCCCCGCAAGTCATTGTATAGGCCACATCGCATTCAAATGCCACTGCGAATGTACAAATGGAAGTAGAATGCGTGCCGCATCCCAAAACGGGATTGATCAACGGCAAATGCTTTATCCTTTATATCCTTTTAAACGCTTAACTTCGTATAAAAAAAATAATGAGCTTTACCGTACACCGCAGGCTTGTAATAACGCATAATTCACAACACACGCTTAAGGGGCACCATATCGGGATTTATGCGCTTGCCTCAAGCGCTTTTTCCAATGGATCCTTCGGGCTTTGGTTGTCCAAATGCGCTGCACGGCAATTAAATTTGCCGTCCACCTTTGCTTTGATTCGTGTTCGCGTCCACTTCTTTGTTTTCACTTTTTTTTGGTTTATTTCAAAACAGCTGATTCGTGACACCATCATCTACGTAAAAAACCTAGTTGTGCAAAATCGATGACGTAACTGTCGATGCGGGTCTGCATATTTAATGAAGCCCGCAGTGCATATTTAATAATTCAATGATTTATTATAGGCATTTCAATTGCAGTCAATAGCCGGCTCAAATGCCCGACAAAAATCTCCAATAATGGACGTTATTCGGCGTTAGTCAAGTCATTTCTAAGTTGCCTCATGCATACTCCTTTGATTCCGAATCGTGTAAAGCAATTGCGAATGAACTTGACTGTGATAACCTTTCGGTGAAACGGGTCAATCGACGGCGTTTCGAGAATACTACGTGCCCGCTTCAAGGGGTCTCCATACAAGGCTTCTGCCCACTACCCCCGCCGGCCGATCATCACCCTAACCAACATGGCTGTTTTCCCCTCAGAACTGTCGTGAGTCGAGCGGTATGGGGGTGGGGTAGGTAAATAATCTGCAGATTTATTATTTCCGCTCGTTTTATGTGTTTTTTCGTGGAAAGCAGAAAATTTGCTAAGAAACTGTCAGCAATGATCCCCTTTCCAGCGAACACGATCCCGTTACACATACGACCTCCGTTCAAATAATTTAAACGGACCGTTGACCCTACTCGAGAGCCTCTCGTTGTACAAGTAAATGGTTTTGTACTTTCAGACAAGCTTATCACCAATAAATGAACTCCGGACGATTGGGAGGCTTTATTGGCCTAGGCGAGATTGGAGTCGGAATTTGACCCAGATCGTGTTGCTGAGAAGTGGCGCACTTACGCAACTTATACCCTCCTCTGGACCGTATTCTATCCTTTTCCCAACGGGACGCCACTGATTCTATCCCTGAGGTTGGAGGGGGGGGGTGAGACAAGGCTGGGTCAAAGGACCAGCTATACTCCGCGTTTCTAGATTCTAGACAGCGCGATCAGAGAAAAGGTAGGGTAAACAACACTACGTGTTCAATGACGCAACCCTATCTTCCCTGACCCTAGGGTATGGTAGAATCAGCAGATAAGGCTCCATTTGTGCACCACAACTCTTTGATCAGTAATAAAATAAACAAGTGTCCTGGTAAACAACTCGAGTGACCTCCTTGTTCCGCCCCTTCTTTTTGCCAAAAGGTTACCATGTAGTAAAGACGAGTACAGCGGGTTGGGGGGGGGAAGGGGAGTAGTCCTTTAAAAACTTAATGCTGCCCGACGTGTCTTGTGATCTCATGTCCTTTTCATTGTCTTTTTAGTACGTTGATCGACTGAACACCACTGAAGAATTGGTCTCGTTGCACCGCCCCTTCTCCTCGAAACAAAAAAAAAAAAAAAAAACGGTCCATCAACAATTCCGAGTTACGGAAGTTTGTTAGTAAAACCGGTTCTGGGGAAGATTTGAAAGACCTCGTGACAGAGTTCTAGTCAGGGAAAGGCAAACCACCACGAAGGCCTTTATTTGATACTTCAAAAGCGTCTAAAAAAATGCCGCTGAGATTTTGTCCCCGGGTCAACTGTCCGTTGGCACTACTTGAACGACGGAGGTCGCACTTGGTTTCCGGAGAGAAAATTCGGACGGCTTTTTTGATGATTTTGATGGAAGATTTCCAAGAGTATTGAGAATTAGGCAAAACTAGTGGATTTGCCGCTTCTTTGTCCTCCTCCTCCCCCCCCCCTCCTCCTCTTCAACCCATTTCAGTCGACGGCCGTGTTGGACGTTAACCTGGCGGAGTTGGGCTCTGGTCTCACTAGCCTCATATCAATAGCTTAGAAAAAGGCAGGGTGGGGGTCGGGGAAGGGGAAGGGTGGAATCGGGATCGTATTGGGGTATTGGGAATCGGGAAGATCATATTCGGGTATTGGGAAGTCTTTTAGACTGATGGTGGGGGTCGCATGTTTTTGGAAAAGAGTTAGAACGCAACAGGTGGCCTGTTTGTCCTCTGGATAGTGCGCTTGCGCCAGAGAAATGCCTTGGATCCTCGGCCATGGTATCTATGAAAATTGTCTCGCGCAGTTGTCACCCAAAGTGTTTTTTCCCTGACTTGAAGCTCTCTCGGCCGGTAACCGCGGTTGCGTAAAAAAAAATAATTGATACCCTTTCGCGGAGGTTCAGCGAATGTCCTCGCGGGTGCAGACGCGCTCTGCTCCCTCCCTCGCCCTCTCTGTCTGCACTCCCTGCACCGGACACGCACGCTCCGACCATGGCCAGTCTAATCTGTTCACGGTGTCGATTGAGGGCTGCCATGCGATTCAGCGATTCACATAGTCGGCGCGACCCTCCCAAAGACCAAATGTGCGACCCGACACAAACCCACCACATTTCGGCTCGTTCCGCACCTCTGCTCTGACCTACTTGTGTGAATCTCCTCGCCGTCACGGTGACTGCGGAAGCTGCTCAACTCGTTCCCGTTCCGGCCCTGCCCGCCCCTCGCCCCTGAGACCGTTCTCGCCTTTGTCATCTTGGCCGTCTGCCCTCCCATGACCGCTTTCTTCGGCAATCGACCAAAGTTTGCCCAATCCCTTATCATCGCTGCCCGTGTGCGTAGTGATTCAGGGGAGGGGGCCGCACTATGTGTTATCGGCGGTGACGCTTGCAACACTTATCTGCGGCCCTTGCACCCCCCAAGTCAAAGATTTTTTGGTCTTCCAAGGCAAAGCTCCTTAAAGGTTTCGCGCAGCTACCGTAATCCTTTCAATTGTTTCAAATTCGGTGTCGTTTTTGGGAACCGGGTAGGATTTTTCTCTTATCTTTCTTTTTTATCATTCTTTTCCCAATGTTGTAAATATTTTAAATTTAAATCACCTTTTTTATTTTTCCTTTTGACATGTATTTATAAGACTTGATCGTGTCAGGAGATATCAAAATTGCGATACGATTATCGGCAGGAGATGCCCATTTGCATGGGGATTGAATCATTGAAAAATTTGTCGAAAGCGGGTATTTTACTTCATTTTCAGGGCTTCATCCAGTAAGGGGGGTATGTGGTACAGATATTCCCATTTTTGCAAGGGGAGGGAATCCCCAGGGCTTCGCTTGAACTTTTACACCCACCCCGGAGCTTCCCTCCCCTAAAAAAGTGGATTACTTCATGCAATATGAACTGTCGCACCACATGCTCCCCCTTACTGGATGAGACCCCTTTCCTGTCTTTATTTCGTATTTATTCTCCCAGTTTTGCATGCACATTTCATAATCGATTTTCTATAATAATTATGAGTTGCCACAGGGGCCGATTGCAGAAGGTTCATGCATTCGTTATTTTCTTCATTTCCTTTCCCTTCTTTTTTTCTCTTCTCTCCGATAGCGCTCTTTGGACTTGTGTTCGATTTTCATGGCTATATGGCGTCAATGTCCGTGGAAGGGTATCACTTTGACACCGCGGAACCTGTTTTGCGCCGCGCCAAAATGTGCCCACTTGTAATCAGTTTTGATATCCTTTCATCGCTATGTGTAACCAACATATCCCTTCATTGATCACTTTCACCTTAATTGGCTGCAGCTCCAAATATCTTATTCTTTTTAGCTATTACTGTTTGTCTTCGTGATGCTCGTTAAAGCCCTCGCGACGACATCTCGTAGCAACCGCGCTCGTTTTTTTGTCCGCTTTGAGACTACTAGCTTTTACTATTGCCCACTTCCAGGGCTTGTGGTGATGGCGAGGTACGACTACCTTCCCAGATATGGGCTGGAGAATTACACCATGATCCTACCCTATGAGGATACCTTCGATCCCGTTACATCCACTACTTGGATGCAAGAAAGTTGGTTGCACTCCATCTCGTTCTCGGTCGGCTATGTAGCGCTGATCTATGCGGGACAAAAGGTCAGCAGAACTCTTCATCTTGTTTTTCTTGTTTTGTCAAAATTATGTCAACAGCATGCAGCTGTTGTTGGTGACATTCGATTGTTGTTTACTGAAGCAGAATTGTTCAGGTCATGGAAGGACGTAAGCCATTCGGTCTTGAAGTGCCACTTTTCTTGTGGAATTTGGGTTTAGCGATATTCTCGTTTCTTGGATTCATTCCGAATGACGCCGGAATGGTTTTGGAGTTGGAAAGAGTAAGTTCATAACATGAGATGCTCTGCACTTACTCTCAACTGTCTTCCTTTATTTCTTCTATCAGCTGTGATGATTGTAAGTGCTCGTTGTCCGCGTTATCTTTGGCATGTCAATCTAATCTTGGCCTAGGGCGTACCAATACAAACGTGGGGCCGTTGCTGGGGTCAATCGGAGGACACTTTTTGGTCAGATTTTTGTTATATTCCTGAAGGAGGTGATGTTGCGGACTCGGTGAAAGTGTTGGGCGTAAGGCGAACTCAATTGCTTGTGAATCGTTTAAGTGTCGTTACGATGTGGATCTGTCGTAGTGGAAAGTAAAAGCATGAGTGATGACACTGGATAAAATATCGCAAGTTTCTCTTCCGAGCTAACCATAAGCCCAAGGTCAAATCGGATAAGCAATTTTGTGTTATTATGGGATTTAAGCAAAATGCTGGTCATAACAATAAGGAAGAGTGTTTAGGGGGGCTGCGACTTTGATTTCAGTAGCCTTTGCCAAATCAATACAATCTCAACGATTATGGTAAAATTCTAGTTTCAAGCAGTTGCTCGTGAGATTGATTATAACTTTTGTTCTCTTCATTGGCAGCACATTAAGTGAAGCAGTGCGAAAGAAATTCGTTCGTTGTGCCATTCCTACCCCTTTTGATGAGCGTGGTTTTCAGCAACTCGTTTGTTTACTCTGTGTGTACTGCCTCATATGCTCAAGGTGTGACGGGATTTTGGACCGAGCAATTTGCCATGAGTAAGGTAAGGATTTATCTCAGATTTTGTTGATGTTCACGCCATGGGGGGGGGGGGGGGGGGGGGGGGGGGGGGGGGGGGGGGGGGGGGGGGGGGGGGGGGGGGGGGGGGGGGGGGGGGGGGGGGGGGGGGGGGGGGGGGGGGGGGGGGGGGGGGGGGGGGGTAATTCTATGTAATTTTTTTGTTGAATTTGGCGCGCTGTGTAATATTTACACGATTGATGGTGCAGGGATTTTGAGGATCAAAAGCGTTCTTTTTAAGTTTTTATTTCGAGCGGGTTTCCGAAGGAATAACTTTTTTCTCGCAGTCTTGCATTATGAGAAATACGTGTTTTTCTTTAAAATATTACTTTGGTACCGTGGGAGCTCAGAAAGGTAGCTGCTTGCCTCCGCTTCCTTATTTTGATTCCGTGATCCATTGGCAGGTGCAATGAACACTGTAGTATTCTTTTTTCACGTCCTTCTTTGCGCTAGTTCTCTTTTTCAAACCATGCATGCTCTTTTCTTCAGGTCAAGATGGTTTGGATTTTCATAGTATCATTTCCGTTTTAGTTTAATCGTCTTTCATCAGGTGGCCGAACTGTTAGATACCGCTTTCATTGTCCTACGCAAGCGTCCACTTCTCTTCCTTCATTGGTACCATCACGTTACAGTCCTGATCTTCACATGGCACGCTTACAAAGATCACACCGCTTCCGGTTGGTTTTACTGCTTTTATTACTGAACTGCAATGTTACTTGTAGTTGTAATTACATTATTCCTACAGGACGTTGGTTTATTTGGATGAACTACGGTGTTCATGCCCTTATGTACACATACTATGCACTTCGCGCTCTCCGTGTTCGCGTTCCTAAACAGATTGCCATGGTCGTTACCGTGCTTCAGATATCTCAAATGGTCATGGGTATCTTCATTGGAATAGTTGTTTACAGGAGGAAGGTGGGTCTTGTCCACGGCTGTTTTGTATCCATCATTCTATGAACATTTTCAGTCATCCGGTGAGTCGTGCCAGCAGACATGGGAGAATTTGGGATTATGTTTCATGATATACTTCACGTACTTCCTGCTCTTCTGCAACTTCTTCTACCATGCTTATTTGAAGAAGAACAACCGCTATGTAGTCGGAACGAAGACCGCCTCTAAGGTAATCTTTCGTCATCTCTCAGCAGCTTCGATTCGTTCGTTAGGAAGGCTTGTAACATCCCTTAATTACCCTTTAACAACTTGATTCCACGTCAATAAAGGCTAGCATCGGATGGACAGCGTTGCTACCATGCATGTCGAAAGCCCATGTTATATGGAAAGGTGCTTCCAATGAAATATCGGCTCAAATACACTGCGTTTCATAAATATAGGTCCACCCTAAATTTTTGCTATTCCAAAGTTGCTGTGCATTTTTGGAAAATGCTGCTATCACCAATAGATTCCTCATCATAA